ATTTAACAAATCATTATACCTTTTTATTATTAAAAAATTAAAAAATAATACTTATGAAATCCAAGACTCGAGGACAAATTGCAGTACCAATTGAATTAACATATTTTTATTATTTAATCTCTTTTTAATTTTATTTTTAATAGAGACACGAAATACCTCAACTACACTAGGATATTATAAAGAGGGTTCACTATAAAAAAAATACATGACTTGTGACAATTATTTTAATAGTTTCGGGAGTTAAAAACCGCCATAATTTGTATTTCCGGCATCATTAATAATCTTCAAATCCACGGTCGCCAAGAACGGTTGGTGGTGCATATTTTGTAAACGCTGGTCAGAAACTTCAATTACTTTAAACAGACACAAAATGCATTTTAATTTTACCACAAAATTGTTGTTTGAATTGTTTTACATTTTCTAACGGTTTTGAACCCCCACAAAATTGTGCTTTTGTTTGACTTAACATTTTCTGGCAGTCTTAAATCCCCAAAAAAATGCACTTCATTCTGCATTAAACTGGTGCATTTTTATTACTTTAAAAATATATGTAAAATTATTTTAAAAATGCATTCTTATTATAAATTGACAAATAATAATTTGTACATATGTACATGTATATTTAATTTGTACTTGAAAATGATTCAGATTCCTTCTTCTAGAGCTAAGTAATATAGCATCTTTTCTCCAAGCAAGTCTTTATCGACAAATTACATAATATTCTTAGTACAGGAACTATATAAAGAATAAACCATCAACACAACACACTTGGAAGAACCCTGAAAATGAAGGTTTCTAAAACAATAAATCATGAAAGACTAACTAAGCCATTGAAATGTGGCTATGATTTGACTGAATAATGTTACATGCAAAATAAGAAACCAACAATGGGTTATTATGATTCTAAGCTAGCACCAGCCATTTAGATTTTAAGGAGCTCTATCAAAGGGTTGTGTATCGTTGTAACAGATATCCCATATGGCTTCCATAGAATCCTTGGCAGCATGACCAAAGCAACTGGGATGTGAAGACAGAGATTTCAAAACTCTTCTTCTCACACATTCCTTCAAGTACCATTACATTAATTCAGTATTGAACAAATTACACAAAAAAAACGTATAAAATCTCAAATATACTAAAGCAAAGAGAGAAATGCATGACAGAATAACAACATACATTATTTTGAGGAAAACAAAAATTGTACCTAGTGTGCAAATTATGCTTCCAGATGTTTTTTAACCCCTTCAGCTATATCATTTGTGTGAACCACCCTTGCTCTAGACTAGGCTCAAGGTTCAATCCATCTAAAAAGGCATCTCATACAAAATGAAGGATTAGCCCATCGGTTAGTTGTTGACCAAAGTCATCATTACCTAGGAACAGGATTTCTATAATACACTTCACAGGATACTGTACCTTGGCCAAAGGTAAGGAGAGAGTCACACTCCAAATAAGTTTATATTGCCTTTAGAGTACAATGCACATGAAGCAAATATTGAGGATGGCAAGTTATATTAAGCCTTTCTAATTTTTGTAGTCAATAATTTTACCATTATTTACATCCCATAGGTTAGACCAATCTTCCATTCAACTTTATCACAAATTAAAACTGTAAACAAAGAAAAAACCATGCTTCAGTTTTCATTGACAAATGCAATCAAGAATGGTTGAAATATCATCTTCTAAGCGTATGCTATACACTATTAGATTTTAAATTCATCTGCTAGAGTGGCCATATAGGAGGAGAGATTTAGCAACTCGTGCTTGCATCCAACAAAATTGGAAATACCACCATTTCATTATGTGGCAAGGAGCAAAACAAAAGGCATAAGTTTCTATGAACTCTACTCAATTATTCCTTCACCAATGTTTAATCAAAGGATAGGTGTTGTCTACTCTATTTATATTTTATATTCCAACAACACAAGACATTTGGACTAATCTCCGGCAAGCAGATAAAATTCTAGTTTCCATACCAAGTCTTCAAAAACTTGACATGGATGACAATAGCTTCAACTGGTCTGTGATTTTTCAATTTCTACCTTGATGCTATAACCTTATTCTCAGTATTGATCTAATCATATCTGATATACTTGTCAGTCAAGCATGATACAAGATCTAATTAGATTCTTAGCAGAGCTACAGAAAACCTTCCAACAAAATTGGTAGTCCTGGAGGTTCATATGATTAAGAGGATTCAAATAACAAGAGGGGTGGTCATGTCTGGATTGTCTCTCAGTAATTTAGATATCAACAAAGATGAGGATTTAATTTTCCATGTCTTAATCCTTTATTAACTAATTGCTTACATGGATCATATTAGTAATGTCAATAGACATAGCCTTCAATTAAAATTGTTATTTCAAATAAAATGATAATGACTGAATTCCTCAATTTTATAATTTTGTTATCCCTGTGGACCTTTTATTTGATGATCAATTTCAAAATATGCTAGTGCAAATGCAATAAGCAGTTGTTTAAATATTGTAGCCATGAAAAGATACCAATTTTAATCTATGAAATGATTCAACTAAAATAGTTGAGTTGTATCAATGAAGAAGGGGTATAAAAAGTTTACCTGTTCATGCCCTCATAGTTTCATGAAACCTCTTAGTAGTTCCCGCTTGTAATGGCAATCACCACTTAGATGACTTGCTCGTACCTTTTTTCACAATATCGTAAAGAAATACTAATTAGGCGAGAGAAAGTCATCTTACAAATGAATAGGAAGACAGTGTTAGAGAGGAACCTCAGTACAAGCAAGGTGAGCAAACAATTTCAGGTCATTTAATTTACATTGGTTATATTTTTTTTCTTCTTTTTATATACATGTTCCTGAAAAATATTCTTCTAAATCAAAGTCACAACAAATGTATAAAAGCACTTTTGTTAGTGATTAGATTGACAAAACTACATATTTGAGATTTAAGTATGTACGTACATACTCACCATAACCAAATATAGCTGAGACAGTAGTGGCACCTAATACAGAGGAACAGACATACTTGTTGAACCCTCTAGGGTTGTCTCCGTTTTCCATGAACCTGTTGGCTGTCTGCGCTTTTTTCTTCCGAAGACTCTTTCAATTTTGATCTCCAACGTGTTCAAAAGCTAGTGAATAGTGATGATCTTTACGTGGACTCTAATACACATAAGTTTAAGAGTCATGACACCAACCATTTATTAATTTATATATTGTGTTCTGTGGCTTCTGTCAGCAAGCAATTGTTGCTTCATTTTCTGAGACGTTGCATTTTATGAGAAATGTCATCATGTATTATTATCAAATCGTGATGAGAGATATTATTTTATTTGATGAAAATGAGTTATACTTCTTTATCGAATAAAAAAATATCACAAAAGGTCATCTTAAAAAAAACTTCATAAAAGACCTTTTTAATGGCTGGGAAGGTATGCTTAATCAACTCAATATTAACATTTTGCTCCTATTCTATCTATCTTTTTCCAAAATACCAAAGTTGGGACAAGGTAATTCATCCAAAAGAGTATGATTGTTTACGGGGAGAAAACATATTTGAGTTCAATGTAGCCCTCTTGGCAAAATGGAGATGGAATATCTTCCATCAGCCAAACTCTATGTGGGGAAAAGTGTTATTATCAAGGTACGGAGGATGTTGTAACTTTTGCACAAGAAATGCCTCAAACAAAGACTCTATTTGGTGGCGTGATTTACTAAATGCCTACAATAGTGAAAATCACTACAACAAAAAATATCATTAGCGACTATTATTTAGTGACAATAAGATAATTGTCTGCATATTATTATTAGTTAAAACTTTTAGTGGCCAATAAAAATTAGCCGGTAAAACTTTATTCATAATCTATACTTTGGTTCGAATTTTTCATGACGTCTAATTATGGTTTCTCTTGAATTACTTGTTGGTTTCACCAACACTACTGTTGCATGTAGCCCCTTGGTTCCTTAATTATAATATTTTTGGGATTTCTATGTCCACAGCTAACTGGACATGTTGCAGATCTTTCTCTGAAGGGAAGTCCATATTGGATGGCTCCAGAGGTACTTTCTATCTCTATATTACTCCGAGGTGTCTCATGAGTTCTCTATTTATACTCATACTCGTTCCTCATACAGCTTATGCAAGCGGTTGTGCAAAAAGACAACAGCTCTGATCTTGCTTTTGCCGTTGATATTTGGAGTTTGGGCTGTACAATTATTGAAATGTTCACAGGGAAGCCTCCTTGGAGTGAGTACGAAGGAGTAAGCATCTGTAGAATTTTTTTCTTCTCTTTTATCAATTTCTATTATTCATGCCACTTCAGCACCATGTAGCATAATTATAATTCTCTTTCAGTATTAGCTTTCTAACACACTCTTTCCTATCCTAAACTTTGATATTGATTTAACAACCAGCAGCTTAAAGCATATGTATACAATATGCTTTAAGCTATGTTCTAATGTAATTAACTAAGCTTAAATTCTAATGTAATTATGCAGGCTGCAGCTATGTTCAAGGTTATGATGGATACCCCTCCTATACCAGAAACATTATCAGCCGATGGTAAAGATTTCCTAAGGCTTTGCTTTATGAGAAATCCAGCAGAGAGGCCAACTGCATTAATGTTACTAGATCATCGATTTCCTAAAAACGTACAAGAGGAAGATGCTTCATCTTCCACGCAGCTGTATAATGGAAAAACCTTGATGGTAATATAAATATGTTGTGTTGTTTCTTATTTATATTTGTCAAACCATGGTGTTTGGTATTAATTAAGTTTATCATATGTTGGCAGGATACGCATTGTCCCAGAGATGTGTTTGTTGACACTAAACCTGATCAGATTTTTATTTCTAGTTCACAGATTGCTAAAGGAAAATCAGCGACCGATAGGTGAGGATTTCAATTCTCATTATTAATTACTTCACAGACTGTACCTTCATGCAATGGCAATGCAAATATCTAACAAAATATATATCGTGTACGTGACAGTGGAATCTCAGTGCCCTACCCACTCTTCTCTTCAACTAGTACTTCCTAGCTCATGCTCACCCTCTATGCTCGCCATCAACATTTTCGATGAGATTTATGTGTCGATGTCAAAAATGGCAATAGCTAAAAAAAAATGATATTTTCAAATGACTGCGCTGGGAGAAGTTCTCACACATAAGCCAATGAACTTTGTTTTAGGTGGCTTAGAGCACCTGTAGATGTTGCAGGTTCTTTCCCATTGATGCCCCTGTAAGTAACAAGCTTGTTGTTCATTATGGAGTTTACAGAATGAGAATGTAGAAGCAGATTTTGTATAATCTTAGAGTGATCCAGCAGCAACACAGAGTCCTGTAAAAAACAATATTAACAACAATAACACCATTTTTTTTTTCTTCATAAGGTTGGATGATTATTCATTACAGACTCACCAAAAATATCAGTATACACCAGTTTTTGCTTTTTAACAAAATTTCCGGATAAGAAAAGAGTTGAAAGAAGGAACAGAAAGGCACAATTATACTTTTAGCTCCATCTGGCATCTAAATTAATTATTATGAGTAACAGCATCCGTTTCTGTTGATAATGTATGTTTGAGTATGGTCTAGATATATATAGAAAAGAATCATAAGGACAAAACAAAGTGAACGCAAAAAAAATATTAAATAAATAAATAAATATAAGAAGATCTATTTTTTTTTAATAATTCATATTTTACATTAAATTTTAATTATTTAACTGTTAAATTAAAAGTTCTTAATATATAAATCAAGGTTAGGGTTCTTAAATTTTTTTAAAATTATTTAATATTTCGTTTCTTTAATTCAAATTGATAAATAATTATGAAAAATTTTATACATTGATTTGATTTGAATTTATATAACAAAGTATTATATAATTTTTTTTTAAAATTTTCAAATTGGATCTAAACATTAAAATTCTTTTAATTTAACTGTTAGATAATTAAAATTTAATATAAAATATGAATTATTAACTACAATAAATTTATCAAAACTTACTCATGAAGTAAAAAAAAATAAATAAATATATATATATATATATATATATGTATCTATGTATGTATATGTAAGTGTATGTGTGAGTATATATAATGTCAAAAACATTTTTAAAAAAATAATAAAGTCAAATATAACTTTTTACATAAAAATGATCCACTTTTTTCTTTACAACGTGTTTGGATAGGAAATTTAAATGGTGTAATTCATTTGTTTAAAGAATTTCAAATTTTTTTAGATAAAATACCTTGTTTGGATGGAGAATTTATAAATAATTTGTAATTCAAGTATTTGTAAAATTCTTTAAAATAGTAGAATTTCAAATTCTCCTAAAAAAAATAAGAATTTAAAATTTCTCATATTTTTTTTTCTTTTTATTTCACTTATATATTTTATTTTATCTATTATCTTTTCATATTTTTAATTATTGAATACTCAAAAATATTTTTAAAATTATTAAATATTATCTAATATTAATTTTTAAGATTATTAAATATTTAAAAATTAGCTAATATTTATTTTTATAAAATTTAATTTAAAAATATCAACATATAAATATATTTTTAAAATCAATTTTATCATGGTGGAATAAAATTATCACATTCAACCTAACAATTTAAAATTTAAGGAATTTGAGTTGACTTATCTAAACAAAATATTTTAAGAATGATAGAAATTGAAATCAAAGTAATTCAAATACCAAGAATTTAAAATTTCTCATCCAACCACACCATTATATTTTTGTGTGTGGAAAGAATACCTTTTTTTGTGTGGGGCTTACAATATATATAT